ACTCTGGTCCCGGGCGCAGGGGCAAAGACAAACCCCCGTTCAACGGGTCCACAGGGGCCACTCTGCGGGGTCACCCTGGGCTGGCATGAAGCCAGACACACTTATTGAATTGCATACTGATTCGTTTGCGGTTGGCGACACGCCGGCCTGAGTTTAAAAACCTGAGGTACCCGGAGGACAAGTAGTCGCGAGGAAGTTGGGGGCCAGCGCCTGAGGTTGGAGGCCGTCGCTAGTAGGTGGTAGGTAGCATGCACAAGCAAAACAAAAGTGACAAGTAGTAAATTAAAGGCCATCGCTTTTTGGCCATCGCAAGGAAGTTGGGGGCCAACGCCTAAGGTTGGAGGCCGTCGCTAGTAGGTGGTAGGTAGTACGCACAAGCAAGACAAAAGTGACAGCGAGCAGCAAGGTTGGAGGTCGTCGCTAGTGGGTTGGAGGCCATAGTACCAGCAGGTTGGAGGCCAGCGCTACAAGTAAACAAGAAACACAAGAAACACAAGACGCACAAGACAGCCAAGGTTAGAGGCCAATGCTAGTGGGTGGAGGCCAAAGAATGCAGGTTGAAGGACCACATTACAAGTTTGGAGGCCTACCTGCAAACCGAAAGGTTGAAGAGAGGCAAAACACAAGGAAAGGCACCGGCGCACAAGTGTGTCGAGTATCATTTCCAGAAGTTCTGTTTTCCTAAATAGTGGAGCAGGTACGTGGAAATGGCGCCCCATTTCCATATCCTCAGATACATCGCCAGCTTCATTGACCAGGCGACGATGTATCTGGCCTGGTCCCCTGCTGTAAGGGGTAACACTCCAAAAGGAGCCTTGTGACCCCAAAGGTCACACACACACACCCACACCCACGCACGCACGCACGCACGCATGCAGCTTTCCTGTTTATACTTGAAGTATAAGAACCTCAATAGTTCACGCTATCTGGGGAAGAAACGGAGTTTCCAACAAACCCAATGCAAATGAGCATGTGATGTATAGAGGAAAACACAGTTGGGAATTGGCGGGTCCCTTTGAACGTCGTGTAATGGCCTGCAACAAGCAGTTCTGCTTACAAAACCACATAACCAGCACTTCGTTGGAGTTTCGCGCGCGCCACACACGCGCGTTAATGTTGCGGTGCGCTTTGCAAGCTGGTCGTTCATGGGTGGTGACTTGCACCCAAGCCGCGCGTTCGTGTAGTAGGACAACAAAAATGTACGAAAACCAGCCGGTAGTCGGTATACGGCTAGGATGCAGTTAGTTTCTGCGAGCGAAGTCAGTATTCAAGGTGTGTGGGGGCAGACGGCCACCATTGTTGGCAAACCTTAATGGTGTTTCAATTTTCTGGTGGAAATCATTTTCGGTGAGCGGGTGATGCAGAAATGGTGATGACAGCGGCATCATATGCATCAGCGAGGTGTATGTGGAAGAGGGCTTTCAGAGCCGCATTCAGCTGCTGGTGTTGCCGCTGGGTTGGGTTTGCTGCTGCTGTTTCTGCTGCTGCTGCTGGTGGGTTGCTGCTGTTTCCTTTGCTGGTCTAACGTGTGCTGCGTGGCTAGTTTGGTGTGGTATGCGCTGGTTTGCTCTTGGTGTGCTGCTGGCCTGTGTCTGCTGGACACATGCTTGCAGGTCACTTCGGTTAATGTCCTTGTAGATTTTGGTCACAGTGTGTTCAGAGACAGCCTCTTGGTATTTGTACTTTGTCTACTGTTCCTTGCCTGTACCTTACAACTGGGTCCTGCATACTCGCTTCAAATTATTGGTGTTCGTTCGTCCTTTCTCAGGATGTATGCGTGCTCAATAGATTTGTTGCCCCGATTGAGTATCAGCGTTGTAGACTTTCAGGGTTAACCAGAGCCAAGTGCCTAGACTGTCCAAACGCAATTAGCACCAGATAGCCAAAAATGTCAAGCCTTCATAGAATTGTCAGGTGATATGTTTGCTGCGAATAGGCAAACGCTGAAAAAAACTTGCCTAGGCAACAAAAGCAGCTTGGGTTGCCAAAGTGCGTGTGCCCCAAGTGCCACCAATGCCCCAGGCACGGAATTAACTTGGCAAGACCAGTGCAGCACCAACATCAAGTCGTTTGCTTACTTTTGACACGTGTGTAGGGGTTTTCTGGCAAATTTGAGAGCGTTCCGCAGGATGGTCGGATTGCGGAGCACAAGCACATCACGCTGAGGCAGAGCAGTTGAAGACGAAGCCAACATGCAAATTGAGCATGCAAACTACGAATGTGCCACCAAAATGCAAACAATGCAGCAAACGTCACAACATGCCAGGACGGAACCGGTTCTGCGGCAGAAAGAAAGCCTCGCACCGTGCACCTGACATGGGTATTTGTAAGATTAGATTCCAATGACACAGGTCCTTGGCAAAGAGCGTGTCACCAATTCGTCACGTCACATGTATATTGTTCATTGATGGCTTTCTGGGTGTAACATAATTTTGCGGCCAAATTTGTGGTGGATGTATTTGGAAGTGACCTTTGGTCCGACAGCCAGGGAGACCCTGCCCCTGCCCAGGGCACTGCTATTATCTGAAAGGCCCTTGTGTCGGCGAGCATGAATTAAAGAGAAATCGGAAAATAGGCAAACGCAATCAAACAAATAACAAAAGCTATTTGTTGACAAGAAGAATGGGCACCCCGCCTTTTCGTGAACGCAGTCTCACGCCATGACCCCCCACCCCCGAATGGGCCTGGTGCTGGGAGGTGGTAGCAGTGATACACTTGGTGGGGCGGCGCGGTTTTTGATGCAATGTAGATACACATGGTGTGTTCCTCATGTGCAGCGAGACCAGTTCATCTCAAGTTGAGACTGTTCGCTAGTGACAGGGATGGGCTGCCACCATTGCCAAAGGCGCAGTCTGTTTTGGAGAGGCGTGTGGGGGGGTTCAGTTGGCTGTTCTTGTTTCTGACTATCGGATAGTGGTGTTGAGCTGCATGGCCATTTTTGTTGGATCCCAAGGACAAGCTTAGGACCAGTGACCAACAAACACCGCTAGGCTCTTGCATCAAGAGCAGCAAGAGGCACGGGTCGGTTGCATCAGTGATTTGCTTCTGCATGGAAGTTGCATTTGCATCAAAGAAGAAAGCTTCACTTGGGGCGTTGATGCCACCATCAACATCGGTAGTAATTAGATCTCGCTGGATATCTTACCACGCGGGGCCTTTGCTCTTGTGCTACTGGGGGACCTTGCAATTTATCAATCTACTGGAATGTGTTGTAAGTTGTAAGCTGTGACAGTTCGAGCACCAGTGTCGGTTGTTGATTCACAATGCAAAGTAGAACTGTTGCCAACAATTCGCAAATTGCACGGAAGCATGCGCCACTACTACTAAGCGAGAGCTATCCCTAACAGGGGTTTCGGTATGGAATCGGTGCCATTGCACGACACAGTTTGTTGGACACATAAGATCCCATATGATATCCAATGTTCATTTTGAAGCGTTGAAGCATGAGCCACTGGATTTTTCTCTTTGTGGCCTCAGTTTGGAGCTCCAAAAGACTCTGGTGCCTTACTCGAGAATGGAAGGCTTGGAGATGCAAACAATTAGCACGTCACAAGACTGCCTTGTTACTAGTAGATTCTTGCTACTAGTAGCGTCCTTGCTCCCAGTAGCGATGCCCTTTGTTCCTAGTAGCTTCTTGTTGCAGTGTTAAATAACATCTTAGATCAAGATCACATTTATTTCATATATATATAATTTGCTTTATGATTCTGCCAGGTCTGTGGCCGCTATGGTGTTGCAACCACCGCTTGAACCGTGGCTCCAATGCAATCAGTAGTGACTGAAAGGAAAGTCAAGCCGGGCCATGATCACAGAACACCCAGCCTGCAAATCATATATTACTATGACTATGACTATGACATGACAGTCAACAAGGGCTAGAAATGGTACAACAACTCACAATGTGCCTGCCTTTGTGTTCACTGTTTGGATATGTTTGTGAAGTGTTTCAAGCGCTCAGCGTGCTTGGTGGTTTCTCAAGCGTTGAATGCCCAGCGTTCCTTTCAAAGTGTCAATGCCAAAGCGCGGACCGACTTGTGCCAAAATGACTGCTTTCGGTCCATTTACTGAGCAGGACTGGAAATTCTACCAATCAAGACGGTTGAGATGTTCGGATATCGTTGGTAGTTCAAAAACCACAAAGAGCTTTGCCACATACCCATAATGTTCTCGCAAGCGGTGGCCATTGTACCTAGCTTAGACGTTTTTCTGAAAGTGTGTTTAGGAATTCCAATAAATTCCCAGTCTTACTAGACCACTGGCCATGCCAAAGATCAGAAAGCCAATGCGACTGCCTCACAGATGTTGAGATAACATGAGATAACTAATGAAGCCGCAGGAGCTTCTTGATACAACATATGAGTTCGGTTGTTTTTCGACCTGCTTCTTGGCTTACTGCATGGGTGAAGTTCTGCCCCCCAGTGAGATGTGTGCTATGAGCCACCGACGCCGAAGAAAATTTGCGCTTTGGCAGTTCATTGCAGCCACGCATTGTAGACAAATTGGTTGGCAAAATTAAAAGAAGCCTTCACTTGACATTTTCCCTTTGTCTTTTCTTCTGCATCATGAGAGGATTCCATTGATAGCCTCCCCGCGTTTGCATGAGACAAGCCAAGCAGCGCCCTGAGAGTGTGTCCCAGTGTTGTGATTTTTAATGGCCCATGTATACAGCAGCCAGGCTTGCAGCAGTTGTAGCTCACAGACTCACGGCCTTCATTCAAAGTCAAGAATCACGGACCTCATTTGCCCAACCTCACATACAGTGTGAAGCAAGAGTGGTGGATATGTGTGGTTTTGCATCAACAGGAAGTTTAGAAACTGCATAGACTGGCATAGACTCTTCATCCAGGTCTAATTGCGCAAAGCCACTCACACAGCGAACACCAAAGAATGTGATTGAAGACTTCAATAGAGGAATCTGAAGTAGTCTCTCTAGACCATACAACTAACGCATAGCAAGGCAGCAAGCTTTCGCATGTTATTTTCTTTACTCTACAGCCATCATGTTAGAGCAGGTGGATAGCAATGAGGCGTTGCTTGCGCTTCAAACTTTCGGGTTTTCTTTCGCGAGTTATGGCAATGGCGGAAGGAACACCTTGAAACATTGTAAGCAAGACAAAAGCTTCACCCTGAGATACAATAAACAGCATCTTAACTACACACTTGGGGAATTCAGAAAGCCTCTAATTTTTGCTCACTTTACGAGGCGAATAAGTTTGGTTATTTGCTTCATTGCTATGGGTGTCCTGTTGCCACTCACTGGAGCAACACCACTCACGAGTCACTCGCACTCACGAGGTTTATCCGCTTTTTCGCTTTAACCTCCCTCTATTGGTCTCTGAGAGCTCAAGTGATAGAAGCGAATTCAGACTCGCGCCTGCGTGTTGGAAGATGACTCTCTTTTCTTCCAAGCAAATGACTGGGTTGTGAAATCCATTCGCAACATTCTATGATCCAATCGGACCAAGCATCCAAAGCTGCATCATGGTCAGCAATCATGCCAGGTTGCAAAGCCGACATCCATACAGCGTGTAAGCTAATGACTTGGTGGGATTGACTGAGGTGGAACACTTGAGGTACTGGCAGTTTGAGTTTGACTAGTTTGGAGGGCGCTTTAGGAACTTTAGCCGGATACATGCACTCCTGAGAGCTGCTGCACCCCATTGTTCCTTGGACAAGCCTCACTCAATTCCGAGCGCCAGGCTTCTCTGGAAGGAGAAGATCAAGAAGCGTTTAATCAAATTGTCAGCGTTGCTGGGAAGCAACTAGGTGTGTGATACAGACACCTTTTTGCGCTTTCTCTTCTACTATATACTGTATATGACAGAATTCCTAGGAAGTTCAAGCGCATGAGCAATCATTCAGACACGGTCGATGAACCCTTTCGGCACGAGACCCCTTTTCTGGGCGGAAACATTTGCGACCGCGCTGTTTCATGGTAGCGGAGCGCTGGCCGTACTGAGCCACGCTCCAGCTGCACACGCCTGCACTACGAGCACCACGAGCCCTTTGTCCTTGAGGACCACACTGGTGGTGGACGGCAAGCCAATCCTCGACTGGCATTTGGCTGATCGAGCTCATTGTGCTCGCAGGCTTGGCAGGAGGAGTTGGCACGACCGCGACCCAGGAGACATCAACTACTTTCAACCCAATTGAGTGATCCCACAAGGTGGCAAGCTCAAGAGGCGACACTACTACACGGTCACCTTCGAGACTGAGCAGTACTTAACCCGTGTCAGGTGGATCAAGGGCGACAAGGCTGCTCGTGCCTCGATCATTTTCCAGCAAAGGGGAAACGGGAGATTGAGTGCTGGCTTGAAAGAAATTTTGGTGGTAGTTCCCTCAAGGTGGAAGTTCATCTCAAAAGTTGAAACCCTGAGACCAGAGACACCAAAAGGCATTTCTGGGAGTCGCTGGTCTATAGTGGGCTGGAGTTCAGCCCGGAGCGCCAGATTGAGCCCTATTGGAGAGGCTGATGAACTTCAAGATCAACATAGAGACACAGATGCAGCTGTCCATTGCCAATAAGACTTACAAGGAGCAGCAACGACTTCCAGTCACAACTGGGCAGCCGAAACTCCCGAGCTTGGCAGACCAAGAGCGGCGCTTTGTCACTCATATGCCCTATGCTGGATGGTGCCAAGCATGCGTTGCTGGTCGAGCCAAAGAGGACAAGCGTGTGAATCGAGAAGAACAAGAAGACCAAGGAAAGAACCTCATCCAGATGGATTTGTTGCTACACCTACACTGGTGAAGATCAACGAGGTGATGAACCGACCCTTGGCAAGGTACAAGAACGGCAAGATCAGTATGGGACACGCTTGATCCTCACAAGTTCAGAGACGAAAGCAGTACATGCAATGCCTGTACCGTCAAAAGGGGACAGCTAGCCTGAAGACCGTCCCAGAAGAAGTGATCAGGTTCGCGCTGGAGAATTCTTCCTATGACCTGGGCATCTTTCAAGCTGACCCTGAGGGAGCAGATCTTGAGGTCAGTTCAACAGGTCAGAAGTGTGATGGGCCTCAAGACAGAGATCAGGATGACCGGGTCAGCATTCTTCCAATGGACAAGTGGAGAGGGAGTTTAGACAGTACGTCGGTTGGCAAATTGCTGGAGGAGTTTTGCCGAAGATTTTGCCGAAGATCGTACCCGACTTCGAATCCTTGGTTCATTCCACTTGTATCCATGGAGCTTCAGGTATGTTGCTTTCCTGATCAATCGATTCCGTGTGCTCGATTGCAACAAGACGAGCTTCGAACTTGCAACAGGCCACAGTTACCATGGGAAGTTAGCGCTTTTTGGCGAGAGCACGCTCTTCAAGAAGATCATCAAGTTCAAGGGGAACAACTTCTTTGAGAGAGGAGTCTGGGCAGGCAAGCTGATCCTCACTCCTGATGGTGCATTTGAAGCCAGAACCATCCGAAGATTGGCGACTGGAGAGAACTTCATCGCCACGGACATCGTGATTGCAAAGGGCCTCCCTTGGAGTTACTCCCCACAGGGCATTTTGATGCGTCATGCTGGACAGACCCAGCGTACAAGGCAGCCCGCGCTGGAGATGGGCGCTGATGACAATGAGATGAGGCAGATCGCCACTGGTGGCATCAGGGACACCAGCACCGAAGACACCTGGATTGGGAGTGGCAGCCCCAGGAACACCCACCTGAGATCATTGGAAGATGCTGAAGAAGATTGACATGAGCCCAAACGTCACGATGACTCTACCTCTCCGCGCAGGACGCAGGAGAAAAGAGAGACCGAGACAGAGTTTGAGGAGCAGGACAAGAAGCAGAGAGTTGAAGAAACCCCAACTGATGCAAGAATGCCAGAAGCATCACCAAGGGGATCGCCTTCCAGCGTACTGCGCCTGTATCCTCCAGTATATGCACGCATCAATGCGGTGAACCTGGAGGTGCATGGTGATGATGAGATCGACTGGAACCGATGATGAGGATTTTGTGTATGGGGGCGAAGAGGATGAGGATCCTCCAGTGGTGACTGAGGAACGCCTGGCAGAGTTGGATGCACAAGCCAGGGAAAAGGAGATCCAGCGGATGATGGAGACGCCAGCTATGATCGAGACAGACGAGAACGATGTGACGCAGACTCGACAGAGGAAGTGTACTGCTGGAAACTCCGACTGGAGATGGGCGGCTGGTTCTGCAGGGCAAGATTGGTGGCGAGACAATTCAGGAGCAGTATAGACTTGGAACAGACATTTGCGCGATGATGGTTCCAAAACTCCTGATCCACTTGATCGTGAACGTGTACTCCAACTTCAAGATGAGGTGGTTGAGAGAGTGAATGGTGGGATTTTTCGACTTCTTCGATGCCTACCAGGTCAACGGACAGCGGCATCCCAAAGGACTGCTATATGCGCAAGCTTGCACTGACTTCGGCTTGACCCAGGACATGATGCAGCCTACTCTGATGATGCTGCCAGGAGAACTCTACTTGACCGTGCGTGTGGATGATGCGTTCCTGATTGGAAGCGAAGAGAAGCTGAAAAGCAGTTCATGTCATACGTGAAGCAGGAGAAGGGATGGACCGTGGAGGAAAAGGCCTGGTGACAAGTTTCATTACTTGAAGAGACAGTTCGACTGGTGGAAGAGAAGCTGCGCGATACGATGTGACCACAAGCAGTATGACGACCTCAAGAAGGACGTGACGAACCTCCATGCTCGCTTCTACAGGAAGACTTCGATGAGTGCAGACTTTGGGAAGAAGGATGAATCCCCAGAGTTGGTCGGCTCAGGTGTCACAAAGTTCAGGCGCATTGTTGGCAAGCTGATGTACATCTCTGGAGAACGACCAGATGCGCGACATGCAATCCAGTGCTTTGGCAAGGAGCATGTCGAAGTTGCCATGAAGAATGCAGAGCGCGTGGTCTTCTACCTCTTCGGCGCCAGTGGCAATGGAGTCCTGATAGATTCGCGAAAGACGGGGCAATCCGTGATGGACGTGAGGAATGAAGAAGAGGCCACGGAATTGCTGAATTGCTTGAGACATCTCATTGAGGTGGCGATGGATGCTGACTATGCCGGGAACAAGAGAATGACCGGAGGTCCACCAGTTCATTCCAGATCTTCGTGGACGGCAACTTGGTGGAATCGAGGGTGAGGGCACAGCTGGCTATTGCCCTTTCCTCAGGGAATCAGAGTTCGTTGCCATGGTCGCTGGCTGCTCTGAAGGGTTGCTAGTTCGACTGAAACAAAGCCAAAAGCAGATCGGCAACAAGAAAGCTTTGAGGGTGTGCCTACTGCTGCTGCTGGCGAATTTGGAGAAGGCCGAAGGCCTCTGGAGCCTCTCTAGAGTCCGATGCGGGAGGCAGCCATTTTTGCTGGTCATGGACAGTCTTTTGCATTTGCGCACTCCTGGGGGTCTTGAGCATCTACGGCTTCGGGACTTCATCACTGTGTTTGTGAAGGGTGGCATCATTGCTGGACTTCAAGAAGGTGACGATTCAGAACACCGAGAAGGAAGTGAGAATGATCCCAGAGAAGAAGGGTCAGTCAACACAGGCAACATGCCTGGGAGATGACAACCGGCAGCAACGTCTGAGCGAAGTGGCTGAGATGCAGGCTGAGTATGTGAAGCAAGACATCTACATCGAGCAACTTGAAGAGAGAGTCAAAGAGCTGCAGGGACACGCGGCTGAGAATTTTCAAATGTATGAGCTTGAGAGCAAACACGCTCGAAAGTTGATGACTCAGATGACAAATCTGAGGAAGACCCCAAAGGGGGAATGTGTGCACTTTCACCAAAGCGCCATCACTTCCAAGAAGGCAAGAAGCTTGACCTATGCTGACGGTGTCTGAACGATGGGGGCGTGGCAGTATTCCTAGGAAGTTCAAGCACAGGAGACACGGTCGATGAACCCTTTCGGCGCGAGACCCCTTTTCTCAGCGGAAACATCTGAGACCGCGCTGTAACAGTATATATATATAGTTATATATACTGAGAATTCATAGGCCTTTCATGATGATGCAGATTGCCAAAGGAGCATGTGAACACATGTTTGTGTGTGCATGTGAGTAGTAGGGCACGTTTCCGGCGACAGAGGTGTGAAAATAAATCAGCAGAACAGTAAATGTCAATGTGAGCAGAGCGCAAAAAATATTTTGAGACCCTACGAAGCCCGAGTATTGTAGAACTGCCTCTTGAAGTGCTTACATACGTAGAACTGGAGCAGACGACTAAACTAAGCAAAAGCAAAAGGATCGCACGGCAAAAGGCATGGTTGAGAATTTACAGCTTTACAACAGTTTAGTTCGCATGTTTATTTAGATCTACACGGCATGTATGCAGGGTGTTTGTATGATGTTGTTCCATCATGCTGGACCTTCCGCAAGCAAGACATGCATGGTTTCACTCCTTTTTATTGCCAAGGAATTGGAGGCGAGGCCTCACTTAGCATTCCCCCTTGCGCAATGGTGCCTTGATGGAATGGAAGTATCCGGGCGTTTGCTTGTTCAAGTGGTGCAAATGGTGGCATAGGGCATAGAACGAGATTGGTTTGGCCGAGCAAATGATGTGAATGATGCCTCGTCATCCTGAAGTTTGCTTAAACTTAGGATGATTCCAAACTTCACCTTTGCTCCTTCTGCAGCTGTCACTGGCAACGGCTCAATTCGCTTCGTGGGTAACATCCACCACCAAAACTCGCAGAAACTTAGCGGATTGCGGGGCGAAGATTGTCGCGCAGTTGAGCGCATGCATTTCCACACATGTGCAGAGACAGACTGATCGACAAAGCATGGGCCAACACAGGATGACAGTTGTGTTTTGATGGCTGGCGCTGTTTGTGCATTAGTTGGGGCCAACGGCCATTTCTGCCGACCCACCTGGTTGGTTTGAGATGGTTTGAAAATCTGAGGAGCAACAGTTTTGCCCGGGATTCTGTGTCGGATTGTTGTGAAAGCAAGCAAATGCTGAAATGCTGATGTGGAGGTGCCAATGGACCTGTTACAAGAGTCTATAAGTACGCAAAGTGAGGGACAAGAAGCATGCCGGAGTGGGAAGGAGGGGAGGGGCGTGAAGTATTTTGTTTGGGTTTGCGCATGCAAACACTACACACACTCTCTCTCTCTCTCTTTACTCAAGCAACTTCACTCTTAGTTCTTGATCAGCGCCGCTTGACTCTGACTTAGTTTTTTTGTGTGCCGCGACTGTATTCAATACATGCTTGTTTCTGGCTTGTTTTTTTTCCTCCCACCGCCGCTCTCCAGTTGTTTCTTCTTGAGAGCTCTATGTTCTCTGAACAGCAGCCTTTTTGTCAACAACATCGCTCCCTTGTTGCGTGCATCATGACCATCATGACAATTCAACATTCGGCCTGATGGGTTTGATTAGAGTGCCAACACCTGCATCGGAGAAATCACTAGGTCACTAGGTCCCACAACAAGTTTGCTTCCAGCTTCTTCATTATCACGTTTGCGTTCTTGTTGATGGCCACAGTCGAACCATCAAATATGCAATATATCCCAAATCAAGTGCTGCTGCCTTGTGCTTGCCAGGGATAGGTCAAGATGCATGTTGTTCCAACTTTCTTGACCACTGAAGAGAAAGGCGTGAGCCACACTATTGAAGGGGGCGCAAACCATGTGTGCAAAAAGAGCGTGTGCCAATGTAAACGGGCCACAAAGGCCAAATCATGCTTGTGACTCGTGAGCCACAAAAGCTTTAATTTGCGCGAGGTATGCAGGCTAATGTGTAACGCAACTCAAACCATGAAGTATGAGCCGCACTGGATGACGCAGGTTCTTCCCGACAATATGTTGGCACAAAAATGTCAAAAGTGAAAACCAATCTTCCGAACAGTTCGAACTAAGTTAATGTTTGTCCAAATGTCATCACATCTAGTCAAAAACACATGATGTGGGCAAGCAACCAGCAGCATGGCATGGTTTAGATTTGCTAATTCTTCTAAAGGTTGTTCATATTTAAACATACCTATTAATTTCAGAATTAGCGAAGCAATATAAACCTCTTAACCATTTAGAAGTACTTCAGCAGTGTCTTTTGAAGGTATAAGGAACTCTTCAACAAAGTGTTAGCGCCCATCTCAATCCTTCTAACCCATTAGCAAGACCGCAGCTCTTGTAACCAGCGACCAGGAACTTGGAGGCAAAGCTGAAACTCAAGAATCATGATCAACTCGTGCGAGTTTGTGATGCGCGTCAACAGCGCACCATAAGTTCATGAGCTTGTATCTAAAGTTTTTGGCGCGCTTGTCATCTTCAAAAGTGCATCAGAAATGCGTCAAAAGTTCGCCTCAGTTTCAATTTAGGTTCATCACAAAGTCATCAATCAAACATGCATCGTTGTGTTTCTTTCGCAATCTCAGATTGTAAAGAAGCGGTCGCCTTCTCTTTGTCCACTGTTCTTTGAAGATAAATGTAGCAAGACAAGTGTAGCCGCTGCTGCCATCTCTCGCACTGAGATCAACATGTTCAACTTGACATTAGTACGATGCTGTCTCCTCAGAATGTTTTCAGGACAAGATTGCAATGATGTTTCTGTATTCTAAAAGACAAAAGCATACAAAAGATAATATCACTTGTTGCACAAGGATTATAGATCAGATAGTGCAAATAGAGAACAAAACTTCACCTTAAATCAAAAGTTCTTCCAGTCATCTTCTCAGCCTTGCGCAACCCTCTAGCATTCTCACTTTCTGCGCTTTTCGGCGCTTGTCTCTTTTTCCTTCTCTTGCTCTTCTTGTGCGCTGAGTCTGTCTTTGCTTGCTTCTTTTCTTTGCGCTCTGAAGAAACATTGGGTTGCTCATGGAAAGTTGCTTTTCAGACTCTCAGACAACACGCATTGGGGCCAACCAAAGTCGCCTGTCTCAATCAAGTACAGGCGCGTGAGCGCGAAGGGCCTACGCATAAGCTGCGGCGAAAACTGCCCAGGTGTAACAGGTTCAAGAGAGGCTGAGGGTGTTGATGTCTTCGGTGAAAGAAAAGCACAGTCGCAAAGGCCAGGGAAGTGAACTGTTAACTTTTGCAGGAAGGCTTGCGAACGCTTTTGGGAAGCTTGTGGCAGCTTGCGAAATCAGTTCTGGCACCTGTCCGCGAAAGCTTGCGAAAGTGTTCTTGCACAGAATGCAGTGCGCAAAAGCCAGTCACAGGCCACAGCGGCCGCATTTCAATTCTAGAGGGCGGTTGCAAGTTGAACAAGACACGGGCGATGCATGGTTGCATGGCTCTCTGCAGGCAGTTTTCTTCTTGAGATCTTGGCTGGTGCTAATATGCGTGAAGGCCGCCGTTGCGCGAACGGACAGGATTTCCACTCAGAAACTTTGATGGCGCCAGAACTGTAGTTATATAGCCACTGTTTAGCCCAAACTGGTTTGGGCGGTGAACATTCCATCCAAGGAAGACCGAGCTTGTGAGCTCAGAGAGACGGCTAGCCACATCAAACATGCGTGCAGTACCATGGGCCTTCAGCCCAGGAAAGGGCTGGACACTTGCCGGCGAACCAAAGATGCAGCAATCACACCGAAAGGTGGTTGTCCCAGTCAAGCGTCTCCACAAGCCACGCCCGTTTGCTTTGCAGAGGGTTGGCAGATACTGCATGCACGCTCGCACAGAGAGAGAGAGAGAGAGGGAGAGACAGACAGGGTCCATTGATTAGAAAAGGTGTGCTTTGCTTTATTTCAGGAAGGGCTACAGCTTCATTCGGTCGAAAGGAGCAACCGAACAATTTGGTGAGCGTCCCAGTGACCAGGGTTGGCGACGCGCAGGCTGGAATTATGATTAATTATGATTATGACGAGTCTTTTTGTGCTGCAATATGTTTTGGTCCTTTGAAGTCAGGACTGGTTTGAACGACTTAGGCATGGATGTGTTCCTTCATTCAGCACAAAGGGGAAGTTTCCAACTAAATGATCAGGCGAGTTTTGGCCAAACTCTTTGAGACACATGCCGTTTCCAGTTTCCACTACACGGTTTGTGTTTTTTCACAATGCACTTCTTGACATGGAAGGTATGTTTCGCAGTATTGCTGAACAAGGATGGCAAACCTCAAGCTTTTGACTTGCAACTTGGCCATATGTTGATGCGACAAGGATGTGGAACAATTGAAGTTGCTTAGTCCAATTATCAATGTGACGGTTCTAATATGTAAGAGATTGCATATATTGCATCTACGTAGTTGTGTTGATGATCGAAGTCAACGTTGAACCTGCAGTTCGCAGATGACAAAATACGCGCATCTCCAGATTCAGACTCAGATCGATATGCTGAGTTATGTTGAATTACTATTACAGATGGTTGTTTGTCAAAGACCGGCAACGTTTGAATGCATTGTTGGTTGCATCCTCATGCCTGCCATGGTAGCCAGTTGGATGACGGATCCTTACCCGTGTCATCGTAGTAATAGTAATTGCGAAAAGATGTATGACATAAAGTTTATCCCATCCAAGGACTAAGCCAACCGAAGCGGACCTGAAACGGTGGAGCAATGATTCCGCCCCTGACACTCCATCAGGCCCTGTTGAGGCCATGTTTTTTTTCTGCGCATAACAAACCCAGGAAGATGTGACAAACAAATATGTTGATGCTCTAGACTAGACAAAGTTTTTGACGGACAAACACAAAACCCGATGGAGTGAATCATTCGCCTTTCTGTACATTCCACTGTACCAGTTTGATTCATTTTGTACATGCCCGGGCATCATGTGAGGTGGGGTCAAAATAAGTTAGACTACTTTAGTCCGGAGAGGTCGATGTGAATGGCTTAGGGTGAGGATGTGGAAACCGATAAGGTCCCCCCCAAAACCGATAACCTATGTCTGATGGTATTTAATATCATTCCTGACAGATCCTTGCAGTACCTGTTGCGTGTCGAATGAAAGCCCCACTGACAGTACCCTAGTGGGCGGCTTCAGCCATATGATATGGAATCAATATTTTTGTTGCTGGTTTTCTTTCTTTTTCTAATCTGCAGCCATTTCTTGAAAAATCCGGATTCTATGTGGGCACGATGCCGATAACGAAACCGATAACTCGCCGATAACCGTCAGGATATGTTTTCAGCTTTCATAGCCACTTGGCCAGAGCAGAGCCTGCTGACAAGACAGCTAATTCCTTATTGAAGACATTGGTCTAGCCTTTCTTTTTGAGAACTTACATGTTAGTATTTTACACCCCAGCCAACAGAAGGCCGATAAATATTAAGATAGAGACAGGTACACCAAATTTCACAAACCCCTCGAGATTGCAATGCCTTTGTCCGCTGCTGACAAGCGAGCTGTGAACAAGCTCGCCATCCACTGCTTCTGATTTCAGCGAGTAGGTAGCTCCGCTTCATGCATCCACAATGTAAATGCAAATGCCAAAAGCATTTGGTTGAACAAAAAGCTGAAAACCGATAAGGTCTCCCCAAAAAACGATAACGATAGAAAGCATCCTAAACATAAATAATTGATTTTGACCGTGGCTCATGTGTTGATGCTCTTTTGCAATTTCCAGGCTTGGGTTCCCGCCGGTGAAGTCTGGACACCCAAAGCAAGCTGGAACGCTCAGGAGCAGGCAAAATGTGTATCATGCAAAACAACTTGGCCTTTGGTGAACACAGAGAACTTGTTGATTTGTTTGGGGGTGGGATGTAGCTAGTAGGAAGAAGACGCTAAGCTGGGAGACGTTTCCTTGAAGAGGTGTTAAGGACATTACAATACGACATTACTGTATAATATAAGTATATAATATTATATAAGACCAACGTGTCTCAGCCAGCTTTTGCGTGGCTTAGAAATGCAGACACGATGAGTGTCCTTTGAAATTGATTTGCTTTCGATGGCTATGCCAGGCGGCTGCTTCGGGAGCAGAAAACAGATGCATGGCTTCAAGGGGACAAACTGATGCACATGCATTCAGGGCTTTGGACGTTTCTAAAAAGCCAGCCGGCAGGCTAGGGTGAGTTGAAGGTTGCGAAGTGGAAGCCCACAAGTATAAAACGAAAAAGAAAAAAACAATATATATATATATAGTGACAAGGTGATTTTGCATGGTGCACAGGGGTGGTATATACCACTTGGCAACTCGGTGATGGTCAATTTCTCCCTGGTCCGGTTGTGGGGTGGGAGGAGGGTTTGAAGATGCTCCGAGCGGTGGCGTTTCCAGCACAAGGTTTCCTCCAACTGACAAAGTACCTGATTTCAGAATATTTCAGAAAACAGTACGATCTATCGTCGATTTGGTTTCCAAGTTGATTGGGGTTCCAAGAATTGTCAGGAAAAAGGAAAGCGCCTTTTTTGCCGTAATTAGGTTTCAGGCTATAGCGCTGCTATATACACTTAGACTTGCTTTTTGTCGGCAAATTCTGCTTGGGACGTGGCCTTGCTTACACAAGAATGCACAAACATGTCGGTTTTTTTGGTTCACCTCTCAGCCACTTTTGGTTTTGCACCAACACGTTTCACCATAGGGACACGTGACACCTCCTTTGAATTCCAGTCAGCTTAACAACGTTATGCTGAACTTATTCTACACGATCTGGTACATTAGCACAATTTCCAGGTCACGCGGTCACGCCTTTGATTTCAACAAGAAGCGCGAACTTAGAGGTGGACACACCAAGGGGCGCTGGTTTATTTGTTTTCCTAAATTCCCAGTTGATTTTGAGGTAGTTCCCCAGATGCAAGCGGAAGCGATAACTGCAGAACTAAGGATATACTGGCACGATTTCAGATTTCAAGCCTGGACTCTATGGTTTCATCAAATGTGCCGAGTTGCTCACCTCAGTTAATTTTATCATATTTTATCAGAGAACAGCGATTCTAAATTTGAGTGTTTTTTTTGTGCAGTTTTGCAGCAGTGTCTAGGCTATCTCAGCAATAGTGATGTGGGCCACGGGTTGTATTTGCTATTGCACCAAACCAGGGCCATCAGAGAACCCCAATGTTGGAAGTGGAGCTAAGGCTTTTCGAGCAGACACAGCAAAACGTTTGGGTTCATCACAAGCAGATTCACAGCTTCGAAGTAGGTATTCAGCTTGCACTTTGGGCGCCGCACAGGTTCGAGTGTTTCATGTTTTTTCATGCGAACAGTTGTTTGTTCTTTTTTTGGCCTGCGTTGTTCGGTCTTTTGGTTAGAACGCTGGCTGTTTCCAAGGCGATACTGTGACATTCACTGCTATCACCAACAAGAACGGTCAACCGCGGCTCAAACAGCACTGCGTAGAAAAGGAAGTCATTCTGGCTGCCCTTACATTCTGGAAAGGTTTCTTGCGTGAAGCCGACTGGGCAACAGAAGGAAGAAGGCAAGGTAAAGGTCAACAAAAAGGGGACAACATGCTTCCTAGTGCCGCCTATTGTTCCAAGCCAAGGCAAGCTATTGACCTAAAAAGTGCCAAAGGCCATGTGGTACCAGTCTCTTGGCAACAGAAAATCGCTTCGTTCTTCGCGCTGCTGTAGTTTCGAAGTGTGTCACCAAAGCAGACATTGCCAACGTATGCAATCCCAATTTCCATCAATTTCCAGTTCCTGGTGCATTATGATTCACCTAAACTGGTTTAAACGTGTTTAGTTTCGCAATGTTTCACAGAAAAAAGACACTGTTTTTGCGCTCCAGCATTTTTCAGGCACGCCGACCAATGCAGACAAGGTGCATTTGGTCCGAAAGGAAGGCAATACTACAGCCAGCCATTGTTGTATTAATTTGTCAAACAGAAATCCGTTTTGTTTCAGGCTAGGTTTTTTCATTGTGTCAACTGGAACATACTGATCTGGTATGTTCAAGCAAAGCATGCGATTTCTTGTTTGGTATTTCCAGAATATCCAGTCCACTTCTGACGATTCAGATAGTCTCGTTCTGCTTCCCTGTTCAGATATGTGCCTGCAGTTCCAAAGGCGGCAGGCTGGTCGGGCCTCGTTGCCAATCAACTCCTTTCTTCCTAATGTTCCTTGAGGCCTTTGCCTGACCTCGTTAGTTCTTTTATTTCTTCCATTTCCTCCTCTGAATGAGGTCTTCATGGATGTTAGTTGGGATTCCTTTTTCATCATTGCGCTCGTCACTTTGTTTGCTTGGCTGTCAATACAAACTTAAAACAGTGATACTCATTCCACATCGTTTGCACTGGAGGTGCAGAACACAAGACTGCAAGTCGTGAGCAACCTGCCGCCAAGAATTTGCCTGGTCCATGACCTGCTTGCTTAGAGTATCAAGTGAGACACAAATCTGCTGTCGCTTCAAAACTCTACTGGTTTATTTCTCTTGCCAAGGATTGGGGCACGAAAGCGACTGCAGCAAGATCTCACTCCAGTTCAAGATTCTGATTTGGTTGGGAGTCGTCATTGGGGAACCATCACGGCTTGGAGGCACCTTCCAAAGCTGCAGTGGAGAGGGTTTGCAGCTTTCTCTGAATCATTTGGGCACACGTGATACTTTATCTTCCTCGTTCCAAGTACTGCTCTGCAAAAAGTATTGCACAACCTGAACAAACTGACAAGCTCACGCGGCTGGTCAAGTATTGAGCTTTTACTGAATCGCAACATGTATGTCCATGCGTATCCATTGCGTCCAGCGTCCAAACGCCAGGCCTGGAGGCATGTATGGCTTTCTCAAATGTGAGAAGATCTTTGCAGCTTTCGGGAAGGACAGTGTCGAGTCCTGTTTCCTATGTTTCCTGGACCAGTGAGCGCAGTACACTCCTCGATCATACGCGCTTGATAGTGCGCGAGTGCAGTAGCATATAATATATCGTACAGTCTGAGTCTAGTACTTGATGTTTCCGTCAGGACTGCTGGGTGCATCATCAGCAGATCGCTGGCTTTCGTGAAGGTGACTGGGTCAGCTTTACTTTGATTCTCAACAAGGATGGCAATCCGCAGGCCAGGAGAGGCAGCACCTGTTTGAAGGCACTCGTACACAACTTCAAGTACAGTACAACTTTACATGCCACGTAGTGTATGTTTGTTTGTGAACAAATGTGAACAACACATCACTATATACATAGAAACATCGCATCTACTATTTGTGTAATTACTGTAGAGTACATGTAATCTCCACTTGGTAGTAGATATGTCACACACTCGGGATATTGCGTACTGAATTGAAAGCCACTTGCCACACAGCAACCTAGGTGAAGAAAGATGAAACAAGTTCCTGAGTAAAGCATGTAAGGGGATCTGAGCATCCTGGAGGTCATTGCAGAAAAGAAGGAGGCTATCTCAAAGTCCAAAGCCGGAAACCACAAAATGACGACGAGCGCTCACATCTGCAGAACTCATTAGCACTTTACCGGAGAGTAGAGTCACAGCAAACATAGCAAACATAGTAATTATGCAACTGAGTAAAGATTTCAACTCCTCATGTAAAATTAAAGCGCAAGAGCGTTGCACAGTGTCACTCAAAAGGTTTTTTGTTTTTAGAGGAACTGACGTATGTGATGTGTGTGTAGATTGGCAGATACAGCTCACAAGGATGTTGGGATTGTTGGATGTCGCAGTCTATCGTAGCATCTATATAACGACTACTGACTACAGTATATATATAACTATAGTATAACATAGCACAGCTAAAACTAGAATTGCATAGTTTAAACAAAGGATTGCCGGTAGCTGTGTTTGTGTTTTGTTTTTTTTCCTGATGTTCAACTTTAATTGAGACGCGATGCGCTCACTCGGCTTTGCCGCTACAGCTACAGACCCGACTGATGAACAAAAACACTTTTGCCGTAGCAGCAATTCCTGGTATCCATCCAGTATCATGGCAGTAAGTCTGGCAGCCTGGCAGCACGCACCTATGTCCAGAGAGATATCCCACAGAAGATCGCGGTAGAGCAACCTCCCAAGTGTAAAGTTCAACTGACTATCATGTTGCTCATTCCTTCTTCAACTAATACAAACTGCTGGGCCATGGGACTTAATGTGTGGCTAAAGGGTTGTTTGATGAGGGAAGTTTGCGAATGATAACACACTTTCAGGCTTTGTGAGTTTCAGTTTTGAGGCCATTTTGATGACCTTTATGATTTTTGTCGCGCAGGCAGTCGACTTGAGTTCTACAGGCAAACGCGTTCGACAATGAGGTCGATTAAGTGGGCGTCGCTTGAAAAAGTGCGCAGAGGGCCGTCGCAGAATGAGCATTAGAGAATTTTGCAGAGGTTTGGGGAAGCATCAGCCCAGGTTGGAAATCTTACGCAGTGTCCAAGAGGTCTTTTGCAGTGGCATTCTATGAACACCGTGCAAAAAGTGCAAAGCGATAGAGGTCTTTTTCACTAGGTGTGTTGTACCTTGTCCTTGTGAGTGGATGCCGGATGCCTACCTGGCACGCCCAAGTTCCGCACTTTATTTTGACCGTGGCTCATGTGGCTCCCAGCATTTTGTAAATATTTGTCAACTCGCTTCCAACAAGGCTTGTGCTGGGCACTGATCCATGATCTCCCTTATTGAAATTTGTGTCTGAGTCTTTGGGTCACTTTGTGAAGTGAGGAATGGCGACGTTGGGCCGTCTCGGCCGTGCCTTGCATAATGCCTCTCATCGAGGCACATAGGAGCCATGTCGCATACTAGCGATGGCCTCCAACCTAGCTTCATGCCATTATTCATCATGCTATGGCTATGCACTCGCAGTACGTGCTGTTTGCGTGCTGCTTTGCGCTTGTGGAGGCTATGCTACGCTGCTAGTGGCGGAGCACAACAACAAGTCGCTCAACAAGGTGTAGACCTTGGAAAACAGGTGTCTCTTTGTTTCCCTTAGCCAAGCTTTGGCCTGTGGAGTGTGTTTGACAAGTTGAACATGAACAAGACTGCTGGCTAACAAGCATGAACAGCTAGTTTTCACAGCTAATGTAATGCAGCTCGAGGATGGAACCAGCGTACTACTAAGCGTCAAGAAATAGATGGTACATGCATGGTTGGGCATCGGACTTGCCATTGAAACAGGCTAAGATGGAATCCGTGTAAGGTCCGAACAACAATGATTTACAACTAGACTAGACCCACTAGATGATAGTTTGCAGTTCGCCACTGTGCTACTGGGAGAAATGCTCAAGGACCAAGCAGCCAGGGAAATTGTGTTGTTGCAAAGTAGTTTCCACCGATATAGTCTGACAAAGAAGCGTGGGCTGGCTCCCACCTGCAGGAAGCTCTGAGATTGCAAGACATGCATGCTGTAGCTCTTGCCAGATCCAAGCTAAAAGGCATTAAAGTACTCAAGGAGCACAGCTGAGAACAGAAACCATATTAGGCACTGAAGCCTGGAGCCTGGAGTCCTGCGACAAAGCAACTAGCAGCTAGCAGGCAAATTGTCAGCCACGCAATTTCCATGCAAACCTCTCGTCTCGTCGTTGCAAGACTTACTGAATCCTTTGCTCACTCCAAGGTTCTCGCTCTCTCGCTTGCACCAAACTCATAGTCGAGCAACACAAATGGAACATGCCAACTCGGCATCAAGGCATATCAAGGCATCTAGCCTACTTGGAGCGCTATACACTGTTGGGCCTTCCTCACGCATGCTCACTCGGCTTCAAATGCCAAAGAAATCCAAAGAGTATGGGGGCTTGGCAAGCAGCATCAATCAGCGCACATCAAGCACCCAGCTTGCATGTGGCCTTTTTGGGTTTGGGCGAAATGGAGATGAAGTACGAGTTTTGAGAAACATGATCAAACTAAGTTCAGAGGCAACCGGAAGGGTAGTGCACAGAAAGGGTTTTGCAAAAACCGGTTCTACTAACATCGTGGAAGGCGCGGGACATTCGTAGAACCCAAGGCTATTCGTGGACAGATCGTGGAATGGTGAGCCAGTAGGAGAACTGACTGCAACGAAATCCCAGAAACCTTCGCAGAACTTCGTGGAAGGTATTTTTGATGCACTAACTTCGTATAAGTGATTCTTGCTGACCCCCTTTCTCCACACACCCTCCATTTAGCCTTCATAAGTTATTGCCTCAGGCATCCTCAAACCTCAGACCTGAGAAAATCGTTGCAAGTTGCAAGTTTCAGGCAACCCTGCATGCTGTGACTGCAGCGTGCAACACTCGGTGCAAGAGTTTTGAATTCATGCAGCTTGCTCGTGTAATTTCATTGCCGTGAGCCGATGCATACAGGTCCTTAATAGATATTAATATGACAGAAAAATGTGACAGGTCGAAGCTTCCCGGCTGCACCAGTGTGGACCTTTTAGTGGCTGGGAAAGGCCCGGCCCGAAAGTTGCCATTGATGCAGACTGGCGCATTGCGCGCGGAAACCCTGGGAAAAGCAGGCTGTGGAGAAGTGGCAAAAGCTGGGGCGTCGACGCAGGGTATCAGCAAGGTGGCTGCTTTGATCACCAAACTTGTCAAAATTGCTCTCGCTGACCTTAAAACTCTAGCTGCCACCCACAGGTCCTGGTTGCAGAATCAGACCAGCTGGAGCACCCCGTCGCGGATGTGCTCGCAGAGTTGTACCTTGCCCGCCTTAGGGATACGATCCAATTCAAGAAGATCCAGACAGATTCCAGTGATTCAAGTCAAAGCGAGAACGAGCTTTGAGATCTTTGAGGAATATATTGTAAGGGCTCCGCCCCCTGCCGCCGACCCCGGGGATAAGGC